TTCATTTTATACATACAGGAGTAAGTTACAAAAGACGCGGGAAAATCTTAATGGATTTACGGCGTTCTTGCTTAGCACGGCAGACTATATATTCAATTTTACGCTACTTTAGGGCAATGCTGTAGCTACGTGTTCGGTGGCGTAGCTGAAAGGGGTTAGAGAGGTGCCCCACGAAATTCCTCTCATGCCCTGATCAGAAATTTTCCCCCATAAATATCATTGTTTGTTCTTTTTTGGGAGAGTTTTTACCTGTAGACCCCCCCTCCCCCCCCCAAAGAAAAATTTCTGACTGCGTCACTGTGCAGGTGGGCTCGCAGACTTTGACTAGAAATGATACTTAAAAGAGTAATACTTACTTCCAGCCCTAAAGAGTCCTAAATTTTGGAATTTTAACATGAGGAATTTTGTGAACGACCTCTCGCATGTGCACCCGAAAAAAACTTCCCCTCCTAACTGCACCCTGTAAAAGTCTTTTATTACCGTTTGTATTGCGTTTAGTCTCTAATGGACCTAGTGTAGCAGAGTAGAACTAAACACAAACATACAAGCAAAAAAAAGCATCTCTCTGTAAGACAATTAACGCAATAAAAGATACGTCGCCTCTGAATTAAGCCGAAAAAGTGGGCTCCAAGCCGCTGAACTAAGTCCCAACGGCACACTAATGATTTGAGCGTATTTAAATCAAAAGGAACTATATCCCGTCTAACGCGAGCCCTGAGACTCACAAGAATACATGCAAGGCGGGGCTCATGTTACGACAGACATAGTACCTTTTCATTTAAATGCGTCCATTTGTAACCTGAGATGGCACTTGCGCGGCGACCACCTCGGTGGAAGGGATATAGGTGCTCGAGCCTCCTTAAACGCGAATTCGATAACGTTTACTTCCGGTTCTCACCCCCTTAGTTGCAATATAGTGCGTTTTGATGATCGGTGAATCCTGGGGTGTTGCGCTAATTTTGACAGCCCTGGCAATGGAACTAATGTCCCACGGTCGGGTGGGGCGGTGAGGAGCTTAAGCCGAGCCGGAACCAATTTGTTTTCTTCAAGATGGGAGAAACAAAGACGTCGAGATGAACTTGGAACTTTGAGCCTGGAGCTTTTTTTCTCATCCCCAGCACCGTTTCCTTCGGATATCCTTCGGTGTTCTCTAACTGAGGGAATCGATGACACGTCAACAAAAACCGCCGAAGGGATTCATTACAATGGGGCAGCCCCAGCCCTAGTGCTTTGTTCTTGGATGAAATCCCTTTCTCTTGGTACTCCCTACACTGCCGCGATAGCGAGGAGAGTAGTGTCAAATTTTCGAAATTGAGTCTCCTTCAAAATTCGTCTAATCTCCTTCAGATGAAAGCACTGAAATAGGTAAGACAGCAAAATTGTTTCACCCGGGAAAAAAATTTGCTGAAGTGACATCCCGGATGTTAAAAATCTGCGCGATAACTCTTGAATATTATGGACACTCTGGCTGTTAAAGTAACGTCCTAGCTACGTTGAATTAACATGACCGTATGTTCATATCAACATTCAAGAGTTGTCGCATTGATTTTTGACATCCGGGATGTTACTTCAGCAATTTATTTTTTCCGTGTAGAAACGAGACCAATGAGAAAGCCGTAAGTGCGCAAAATATACGTAGTTTCAGGCAAGACAGCAGTAAGCAGGGCCGGATTAAGGGGGTGGCGGTGGCCACATGGGCCGCGGCCCACGGCGGCAAATCTATAGGGGGCGACAAATTTTGCAATTTTTTTAAATGTAGGTATCAAAAAAAATTCGGATTTAGAAAAAAAAAATTACAAACGAAAAAAGGCGACAAAATCTCTAATTTTCTGAGAGTATAGTAATTTCTACTCTTGTCGTCTTTCAGTGATACACAGCACCTTTAATTAGTCGAGTTAAGAGAGAAACCAAACACGCAATTTGGCCTGGAACGGCCGACTTACCCAGAGAGAAATGATGACGAGGACTTGAGATGAAAAGGAGAAGCCCTCGGCGCGGCGATCGGCATGTAACACATATTAGCGCCTACAAGACTGCACGAATACTTCACGCATTGCATCAAACACAGTGCGGTCATTGCGGACAGCGTGAAACGGATAGCGCCTACAAGAATGCATGAATACCTCACGCATTGCGGCAAACACAATGCGATCAGCGTGAGACGCATAGCGCCTACAAGACTGCGTGAATACTTTACGCATTGCGTCAAACATAGTGCGGTCTGCGAGGCGCGGCGGCGGAAGTTAAAATCATTAATCCACATTTATGTTCGTTCTTTCATAATTTTTTCTTTCATTTCTTATGAATGGAAGGCCTTGTCCAGACGTATAGGTCGTATAGGTTTACGAAACTTAACTTTCCGTTCTTCCTTAAAAAACTTAACTTAAAAGTTCCGTGAACTTTTGCTAGTAGTGTTGACAGGGCTTTCCCAAAAAATGTGTTCAACACCAGTAAACGCGTTTTAGGCACCCCTCCGCCGCTGGCACGTTAATTTGATGCTTCATTGATGCTTCAAAACGAATGAGAAGGGGACGGCAAAATACCAGCGGCCAATAGGCGGCAAGTAAGTAAATTCGGCCCTGGCAGTAAGTGACATTATTCCTCCAGAAAGTCAATGAAAACAGCGCCGTCAAGTAACCCCCTCCCCAGCGCCCTCTCACTCCCAATTTCTAACCTGAAAATGGGTTTGTTGTGTGTCCAAAACGCAACCGCGAAAACATGCAGAAGATAATACTGACGGCTGTCTTGCCTAACATGAAAATGAATAATACCCTCCTTATGTAATCGAAATAAAAAGTCGGGATAGTCTTAGGGGGTAAAAAGCGTAACCCAGAGGGGGGGGGTTGAACCGCGTAGCGGTCATGGGGCGTAGCCCACTAGGAAAGCGATAACGGACGCGAGTGAGAGGGGCAAGAGAGGTTGCTCTCACCGCCGAAACCTCGGAGGCCTTAAATTACCGCGACGAAGCGATTACTACGGAATCGCGCCGCGCAGTCTCGGTCTCCACGAGCATGGGCTCAATTCGACGTGTTCATGCTGAAAGGATTTATGTGCACGGGGTTCGCGCGGAACATAGTTCCTTTCACCGTAAATCCATCCAATTTGCCGCCAAGTTCGACATCGCCGAGGCGGCCGCGCCGCCCGGTTCTGTGAATGAGAGGGAGTGCTCCGACTTGCTTGAACTTGGAGAAAAAAGGAAAACGCAGTACAAAAAAAGAGAAAACAAAACGACGTATGATGGCAAGGCGAGGAGTCCCTTTCCGAGAACGATTCGGTACGGTTCACGAGGCAAGACCGTGTAACCGGTACGTCCGCCGGGTGAAAACCGCGTATCCGCCCGCGGATCGTCGGGGGAGTTGAGTGCTTCTGCTCGCGCGTCCGCGTCGCCGTGGCGCGTTGTTCTTATGCGCACTGCACAGGTGTGCACTGTGCACCCTCGAGAAAGTTGCCACATCCGAGCGGAGACGTGAAATTCGTGAAACTTACTCTGTACAATTTTTTGAAATTTTTGACACCCACGCGAAATTTTGAGATTTTTTTCAAAATAAGGAACTTGACCTGAGCTTGTATTTTTAAACCATGAACTGCCATTGCCAAACCATTTGCCATTGAACAAACCATTTGCCTGAACTGTCTGTAACAACAAATTCTCAATTTGAGTCAAAAAAATTTTACCTCGAAAAATTTTTGGCTCGAATTTTTTTGACTTCAGTTGAAAATATTCGAGCTTCATGACCTTGTTTACCTCGCATCTCGCAAAATAGTTTGGACTCAACAATATTTTACTACCTTATCTTTAAACGCTCTATTATTCATTTAGATCAATTTAGCCCGAATAGCAAGATAAAAACTCACTCAGAATTAGAGCAATCCCCATTTGAGGGTAATCGTCCCTAAGCCCCCCGGGCCAGTCCACCCCTATATTAGAGGCGACTCCTTTGCTAGGGTTGCACCGCGAGCTGTTAGGGAGAAAGATTAGTAAAATTTCCACATAAATTGATAATTTCATTTTTTTTTTTTTTGCTTTTTCGCGGTGTGGTTATTTCTTTATGTTTATTCTGCTGGAGACCGATGGCGGAACGCAAATGATCGAGTTTCGTTATTTTCCCATCTGAAGCTATGGTAAAGAATCGGTTATTAAAGTGCGAACACCCTGATTATCGATCCTTTTCCGTAAGTTTAAATGGCAGTTTAAATGTTCAATTGATGCACTGCAGAGCACGCCGCGACACTGCAGGTCCACGATGCTTATTAGTGCATCCGTCATATTCATAATGAAGGACAAAACGCGTGACAAGGCAACAGCTCTCATTCTTTTTATTTCTCTAATCCTTTAATAATATTTTGGTCGAGTCTTTTATGCTGTGGGTCAAGGATCAAGAGCATTGCTCCAAATCAATCTTGAAGTATAATTCTTTTGTAATGCGTTTAATTAAGAATATGTCTGCGTCCGTGAATTTGTTGCGCCTTGTCGGCACGATGAATTGAAAGGTAAGCAGGGGTGCTCGGACTAAATATTGTCTCGCTTATCGGTTCTGGGTGAATTGTCTGAATACAACCGTTTTGAGTATCTTGAGAGAAACTACCATTCCAGAGTGCATCTGAAGATGCACACGAAAAAAGGTCGACTACTAAACCATCTTGCCCAGTGGCGTGCGTTTTGCGAAGTATCGATTGATCTACCATTTAATCCTATGGAAAAGGATCGATTAACGGGGCATTCGAAACGAACACCTTAATAATCGATTTTTTACCATAGCCTCAAATGGAGCAGTATGGATAATCGATCTTTCACGCCTTGCCACTGATCTTGCCTGCAAAGCTAATCACCGGAAATTATGAATATTTTTACCCTGTTTTCATGAATTATCGGATTTGAAACTCACCAAATTGCTCAGCCAGAATGTTTGTCTTTTGTGGATGTTTTTCCATGCAGCCCTTTTTACAACATAATTTTTAATTTATAATTTCTGATTTTTATTTCCTTTTCCTTTTCAAAGTCCTGACAGTCCCGTTAAACGACATTTGAGGAAATCAGTCAGTTCGATGAGGAGCGACCCAGAATTTTGAGGAGGAAATTTTAAAATTTAAATGCCCGCACTAGCTGAAAGAAGGACACACGTTATCAGTAAGTTTCCATCCATTTTTTTTCTTTTTTTTACATCCGCTCCATTCTATGTAGAAATTTTGTTCATCCCCATTTGTATTAAATTGTTTACTTTATTTCATTTTACTTTATTTGTTTCTGGATTTTACTTAAAAAGTGTCCGAAAAGCAATTCCTAAAATGTAATTTCTTATCAGTTTTTAAGCGTTGTATTGTTACAATTTTTGAGCTATTTGAAAGCGGTTTAGAGGGGAGTTCACATACAGAGCTCTCATAGGCGAATGCATACATTTCGAACGGGAGGGGGGGGGGCGTATAAGGGGAATCCGGGGGCGTCTCTCATACATAATTTGAATAATTGAAGCATTTTTATGCACTTTGAGTCAAATGCGTCATGAATCATTATCAAATAGAAGCGTATTTCCTTATTCTTTCCTTCTTCCTCCCTCCTCTTTTTCTTCCCTTCTTTATATCGGGCAGACAGGGGGGGGTCATTGAAATTGATAGACAAAGCGCTAGACTATGAAGACAGAGAGAAAATGTAGCGATCATATTGGTAGAGGCGGTTGGCTACGATGGACCAAAGGAGGTGAGAAATATACACACTAACCAACTGCAACCCACGGAAGACCCTATACAGTAAGTACATCAGTACATCATTTTTCCTCCTAGTCTATACAAGAGCCACCCGTTTCAACGTATAGGATCGCTTCATTATCCGGCCCTCTTCCTTCTATGTCGCTCCGTCTGCCAATTTCAACAAACAGCTCCTCCGGTTCAGTAATCGTGTAATTGCGGCCACTTCAATTAAGAGACTAACATAACAATAAGACAGAACTCGCGGTGCGGGGCAACAGCTGGACGGAGCCGTGATAATCCGTCAATCCCATTTCGAGCGGCTTTTGGCTTTTATTGCAGAGGCCACGGCAGGTCCGGCCCAAAAATACGGCCAGGTTTAAGGCAAATACGCGGCACTCAAATTAACTCCTGCCATTCGATCTCAGCTCATTTTCACTAATCCCTCATCTCTCCGACCCTCGAATTATACCGCTGCGCAGCGATAGCGCCATTCCGCCGGAGTCTCCATCATCCATCAAGTTCAACTCTCTTTACGGGCTCATAGGAAACTCTTACCCAATTCTGCCGTGATAAGGAAAAACGTCGTATGAGCCTTCAGCCGTTGCCAAATTTCCCTCGAAAAATCACGCATTTTTAGGTAAATTTATGAATTTTTTCTCTCCAATGTAACAGAGGATTTTATTCGTAATTTGATCTATAAAGTCTGAAAATTTCTAGGAAAAATATTTATAACTTTCTTCAAAAACAATGATTTTTAGAGGAAATTTGGCAGCATTCGAATGCACACACGGCGTTTATCCTCAGCACGGCAGAATTAGGTCACTGTGCACGCATATAGGAATGAAAAGTAAAATGAGGGTCTTGGCGGACATGGTGCATAAGTGCAGTTTTTGAAACAATTGTGATACTAATGATTTCGACCGGTACTAGTTTGAAATGTATTCCATGAAAAATCCGCTACCGAAATCCAATTATGAGGCATCGAACAGTAGGTTTGAAATTTCTTTCCGCTATAAAACTTGAAATACATATTTCTTGAAGTAGCAATAACTGCAATTAAGCCCTTTATCCTCTAAGCCCCTCAAATATGATTAGGGACTTCACGAAATTTCACGAAAGTCGATTTATTGAAATTGAATTCTGCTCTCATATTGAAAATTGTGTCGCACGAAAAAAGGGAGGAAAGAGGAAGTAAAGCATCTTAAAATTGGTAATTATTCATGACGAACTTTACTCAACTGCCAATTCGGTGTTTACAAATTTTGACAAATTTTTGGGGCCCCCGGATCGCCCCTCCGCCGACACAAAAATTAGTCAGGCACTTACTTAAATCCATCATTTTTCCGTGTTAGAAGTATCAACAACGAAACCTCGCGACGAATTGACGAACACCTTGACGCGCACCTCGCAATCATAATGTGCTTGATTTAAATCACAATGTTATGCTTCGAGGGATTGACATTAATCGTTATGACGACATCCGATGACTGCTTACTTCTGCATTCGAGCAACCTCAACGTTGTCAGATACAACGGAAAGTATCCCGCGATTTTGTTTGTAACCATTTTAAATATAATCATTTCCTACTCCTAAAAATCGACGCCTATGTCTAAATACACCGAATCGCGTAACACTTTTGTTTTATGAACTGAAGATGTGTCAGGAGTCGAGGTATATATTTGCTTGTCAATCAACAGTGAAGAGATGTTTCGTCGACTTGGCGCAGTTGTACAGTCTCGCATAAGTGGACGATATAAATGACGTATGATATAGGTTAAAACATACTCAGCATCCGTTTCTTTCGCACTTAAGATATCATTGATATTACGGCTCTGTGCATATGTGCTCTCCGCATAGATATACTGAATCACGTCGGGTTTTGAATGGTAATAAAGTTTGTAGTTTGCTTCTTGTCAGAGGCTGCAAAATCTCTGAATCACACGACCTAAATTATAAAAACATGCACTGCTAAAAATCTCGTGGTGAAATTCGGTGCACATATACCTAACTTCAAAGTTTAGAGAAAGTTGAGACTTTATAAGGAGAAATTTTACAACACCACGTGGATGACAGTCAAAAAGTGGGATGTAGGCATAGCGAATGTGTGCAAAAATAATGGGATAAATTTTTACATGCTTACAATTACTTACATCATCGCAAGTTGCTACATAACAGATCTCTTTAGATAAAATGCTGTCGATTCGTTTTTTAAAGTTTGATATCTTAATATAAAATTGTTTTTCACTCTAATGAACGACAAAAATCTAATCAATTTCTTATAAATTTTTTTATCGAAATTTTTTCGGATGCTTGTCTAAATTTTATCCGGTTTTCATACGCAAGTTCCAGAGTTTTTCAAAATTGTATAAAATGTCTGTCAACACATGTAGCAATAATGGAATTTTGGGTGATCTCATCTGTAGAGTACGGTCGTAAAGCATGTCTCTATACAAGAAGGGTGTAACGTGATGCTTGGTGATAAAAATATAGAAAAAAAGGAAAGAAAAGCATTCAATAAAAAGCGATCGAGAGCAACGCAGATTAAAAGTTGAAGCTTAACAATAATGATGCATTGATTTTTTCACGACCCTAGGGGTATTCATATCAATGTGATGCCCAATACTTAAAAGATAATGATGATTACGTAAGATAAAGGCCCAGGCATACCTATCGTCGTCTCCCGGACAAAAGGATGTAACTCCATTCTAAGGCTGCCAAATTGGCTCAAATAATTAATTTATTTCGCAAAAATATACCGACGCGATTTTTATGCAGTATGTTCCTGATATTTGCATGAAATCTGAGAAAAAACACACTGGAAAAAAAACACATTGGATCTAGAGTCCAGACTCTTAAAAACATCGACAAGAAAAAATACTCTTGATTCAATCGGATTTAAGCTTCAATCAAGAACCCAGCCTCTTAATTTGAGCGGATTTCATTTTGATTTAAGCTTAAAGCTGATTGAATCAAGAGTATTTTTTCTTGTCAATGTTTTCAAAAGTCTGGACTCTAGATCCAAAGTGTTTTTTTCCAGTGCAATTGAAATTTTCAGTAATGGAAATGCCTAAGATTCTCCTGGTTACGCAATTTCGGAGAGGAAATTTGGCAACATCAAAATGCAGTTACGTTCTTTCGTGAGAAAACGTACTCCTTGATGCGGAAGTCTCCTTACGGAAGTTCTAAGGATGGAGGCCTCCCACCACACGAGGCGACATAGTCAAAAAGATCAAATCCACGTAAAGTTCCGACGGGAGTTAGGTTGTTCCTGCTCGGCGGGGCGGAGTTAATCCGGGCTTGGAGGGGGGCGGGGGCGGGTGACTCGCGGTAAAGGAGCAATAAAGAAGCGCGCGGAGGGCTCGGCGCACCACGCGCAACACTCACGCTTTTCCTATTTGAATAAGCTGAAAAATGGGGCGGGAGCTAATTTAATTGCTTGGCCGCTAGTAGCGCATTAGTAGCTTGTTTCAATTATCAGCCCCGGCGTGTTTACACAGCCGCTATTTATCTCTTGTTTCCCTCCAGACCCACCCCTCCTTCGCGCTCCTTAACACCCCTCGGCCGGGCTCCTTCCGCTTATGCCGCCCTCGAATCGTCTTTTTCGGATTCGTGCACTTCCACTGACGCGAAAGAACCCACCCGACCCTGCCTCGTCTTCTGGGTTTCTGCTTCCCAAATATTTACCACCGTTCGTGAACGCTCCGCCGCACAGTGGATCGAGTCAATCAGAGAGGTCGGACAAGATATTTTTGACAAAAACTACAAATTTTGATGTATAATTCGTCACATTTTCAATTTTAAGGGGTGTCTCTAGAAGAAAAGTTCACGAAAAAACTAATGGAAGTACCTTGAAAATCTCAAAGTTGTGTATAAACGGAGTTAAAAGCATTTAAAGTTTCTAAATTTTGTCCGACCTCTTCCATTGACTTGATCCATTGTGCGGCGTGCTGAGCAAAAACCGCGTATTTCCATTGGGTTTTCACTGGATTTACGTGGCTCTGTCCGGTCAGACGTCTGATGGACTAGGAACATGCTGCCGCGCTATGGAAAAACGCCGTATGAGCATTCGAATGTTGCCAAATTTCCCATCAGAAAATATTTATTTCTGAGGGTAGTTATGCATATTTTTCCTTGACATTTTTAGAAGCTTCCCCAGAAAGCACAAGAATATTCCTAGAATATTCTCAGAACATTCCTCGGAAAATCTGGAACATTCACAGAATATTCCTTAAATGTGCCGGGAACGTTCTAGGAACATTCTAGGAATATGCAAACGGGAAAAGTTCGGAACATTGGTATGTTCTTAGAATGTTCCAAGAATATTTGATCAGTAATGTTCAGAGAATGTCTGAAAATTTTTGTACGGAATCGTTTGGCTTCAGCATCTTGGAGGCACCAATGTGATTAAATTAGTGTCTCCAAGATGCCGAAGCAAAAAGATTC